CTGATTAGAGATCAGAGCAATCCTACCTTTCCTTCAGGAGCTACAAAGCTCCTAATCGTTACGAGAGGGAGCCTTGGAGCTCCTGAAGCTCATCAGCAGAGGCTATTTACCATTTGGGCCTCTTCTGATGAAAGATGCGAAACACGTCTACGAACCAGGAGCTTCAAAGCTTCTAATCCTTACTAAAGGGAGCTTTGGAGCTCCTGAGTCTCCATCAACAGAGTCCCAGATGGTAAATGTCCTTTGCTGATGAAAGATGCGAAACACATCTACGAACCAGGAGCTCCAAAGCTCCTAATCCTTACGAAAGGGAGCTTTGGAGCTCCTGAAACTCCTTTTACTATAAAATAGGACAGTTTTCTTCTGAGGTTCTCATCAAATCTAAGACTTCAGAAGAAAGCTGTCCTATCAATGTATACTTACACTCTCATGGACTACAAGTGTACAATTTTAAGGCAGAGATTATCCGAGGCCTCTCATCAAATGAGGGACCTCGGATAATCTCTACCTTAAGTAGTCAAATAACTTTTCTCACTATTTAGGAACAAAAGAACAAGAGTTGGAGTACTTTAAGGCAAGATTCTTCCGAAATCTCTCATCGAATGAGAGACTTCGGAAGGACCTTGCCAAATCCTTGAACGCCAATATCCTTGGAACTGAGCTAGAACCAGGGAGAAGTAGCATACTATAGAGCACGATAGTAATCTCGGAAATGCTTATATCGCCCCAAGCACAATATTTAAGAAGTCTAACTCATATATACAAGAAGTCAGGCTGAATAGATATTGTGCATATGGTTTGCAGAACTCTCATGATATTTAAAATTCATGTTATCCCAAAAAGGTGACACTTTGGGTGTATCGTCCATCCCAGGGATGCAAAAATCACATCACCTTGGATCTATAATAGACAGATTGAAATTTTGATCATCATTATCACCATAATTTATGTGCATATATTTTGATAATTTTTCCCCATATCTCGAATGTCAAAATTGAAAGCATATTGAATATTATTCGCATCTACCAGTTATATTTAATGTGATAAAATAAGGATGTCAATTTGGAAGAAAAGTGAGAAAATTCCTAAAATGCTAAAAATGAATTTTCCAAACATATTTTTTTATCTCATTTTTTTGATTTTGAAAAAAATTTGGAGAGAAGAACTCTTCGTTTTTGAATTTTATCACGATGGTTTTAAAGTATATTAGACACATGTATTGGTATTACTATTTTTGTATATTTTGAGAGAAAATCCCTAAAAAGTGAGAAAATCTAAGACGGTTTGAGAAAATATATAAACTATTGAAAATTTGAATTAAACTTCTAATTTGGAAAAAAGAAATTTGGAAAGAAGAAAATTCAAAAATCGAGATTTAGACTCAGCATCAAATGGAGAACAAAATGTTTCTTCATATGAAGGAAAAAAATTTTCTTGTGAAGAAATAGAGTTTTTAAAATTTTATTGTATGTAATGAAATAAACAAATATTAAAATTATTTTTTGATAACAAGAAAATTCCCAATAGAAAATATTTGAGAGAAAGAAAAAAAGAAAATTGAAAAATATTACTCTCCTTTATATTTCATGAGATTTTAAATTTATTCTCATAAAATTGACAATTTTATACGTTTAGATGAAAATAAGTGATTTTGGTTGAAATAGAAATTATTATTTGCTTACAGCTATCAAATAGATTTTTGCTATTTTGATTAAAATTTGTTAATCAAATTAATAAATTTTTTCTAAATATCTTAAATATCTGGATCACTCACATATACAATGAATTGAACGATAAAAATAATACAAACTCAACTAAGTTTCCTGTCTTTCAACTAAAAAAATTATGCAAATTAAATTAAATTGTTTATTCAAATATAAAACAAAGATGAAGTAATTACAGTTATCATAAACTTTATGAATAACTCTGTAATTGGTTCAGATTTTCGTAAAAATATTTTTATTAATATCGATAAGAATACGTTTACCTACTATCACAACATATCGATAAACAAGAGTAGAGTGATTTTTATCATCGAAACTTTTTAAAAGCTGTAAGCTGGAAGGAAAAATCTTGTTTTTTCTGAGTTAGTTGTAGAACTATTGATGTACGAGTTATCATTGTGATGTAGAAGGATGTCAATGTACTGACTGAAGGATATGAAGTGAATTGAATTTCATTGCATTTCAATTTGATCAAAATTTGTTGAAATGATATGAATGTGTCAACATCTGTATCACTCTCTTTCACTCCTTCCCTATTCTTTCGAGAACGAAGCTAGCTCAGCTTTCGCTGAGCGAATTGACACTTTTGATGCCCTAAACGTACATACTCTCAAATTTATCGAAAAAAATTATACCACCTAAACTAGTATATTCTTATTTTAAATATGATATTATCCTTAGAATCCACACTAGAATATATTTAAATCAACTTTTAAAAAAGTTCGAATCCTGCGCGTCTCACTTTTTCAATTTTCGAAAAGGAAAATTATATTCTCCTAAAATGAAAACAATTTTCCGAATTGACATCCTTAGATAAAATGATATTGGAGTTAAATATACTTTCTTATTTTTATCGAGAAAAATAAGTTTTTTGGCACAAAATTAAATCGATATATCATATTGTTTGTGACGATTTATTTAATTCGATCGAATATTTTTACTCATTCAATTTTTTTATTTCAAAAGATTTGGATGTAAATCTTACTTCACTCTTAAATTTATATAATATTAAAAATTGATAAAAAAATTCAATGCTGCCATTTTTCAATGTGCTAAAAAACTCAGAATTTTATATTAAACGTATTTTGAAACAATGTTTCCTGTTATATTACAATTTTTTATCATTATGAGTAATTTTGCCAATTACCTCAGACTTTTCAGAGGATTGAGTTGCCACTCAATCCTCTGAAATAGTCTGTGGTAATTTTTAGTCTCTACACTATTTCAATATAAGCTCAATTTTTAAACAGTTTTTAAAAATCGAGCATTGAAAAGTGTGATGAGACTTGATTTTTCATAAAGCATTCAATTGTCTAATGATAAATAAATTTGGATGTGTTTTAACTCTCGTTAAAAATGATTTACATTCATGAAACATATAAAATGCATTAAGAGTTTCAATGTCTTTTCAATTTATCATTTTCTATCTAAGATTGAATCTTCTTTTTCCAATCTATAATATGCACAAATTATTTATTAATTCAATCAAATTTTAAATTATTAAATTTCAAAAATCTAAATATATATTAATTACCCCTTGTTCTACAATTTTTTCCTACAAAACCTTCAGACCAAGTTAAATGTTTCTTAGTTTTTTTAGATTAATTGAGTGTTCTGATTTATCTTTTTATATTTCTTCAAATTAATGTCAATCAGAATTTTCATAAATTTTATCTTCAATAAAATTAAATTCTTTGATATCGGCTCAAATATCATTATTAAATGTAATCAAATCATCAAAAGAGCGTTAAAAAGATTTTTATTTCTTGAAATTGTATAACATCCATATGTCCATCGAATTACTTATTTAATTTTATTCAACTGTTTTTTAATTATTGGATTTTTCATTTAATTGAACAACTTTTGTTATTTTTTTTTGATTTTTTATAGATATCCATATTTTTATGAAGTTGTAGAGTTGCTAATTTGGATGATCTTTTTGGATGATCCAAATTAGCTAAAAATCAAAGATCATTCTAAATTCAAGTTGCAACGGAATGCAGCAGAAGAACAAGTCTACACCTCAAAAAAATCCCAATTATGGAATTCACAAATAAACCGAAGATAGTTCAAACAAAGAACATATCCTACTGTGTTTGAACTTTTTCATGTAATCTTTTTCAAAAATGCAGCTTCTTTACAGCTACCAATAAAAGTGAGCATGAAAATATTCGGTCTTCGTGATTCTGCTTATCACATAATTCTCTTTGTCCAAGATTCATGAATTGGAATAACAAATACAATGATTTATGAAACATGTATTATATGAATTTAAGCAAGATAGTAAGGATTTGATAACAAATTCATTCATGCGTTCTAATTCTTACATTATTGCTCCCAAGTGATTTTCCCTCATTTTTAAATTATTATAGATCATAAAAACCCAAGAAAGCTCCTAGCAAACTTATTTCTCATAAAATTCAAAATTGAAATCAATTTCTGAAACCAGTAATTGTTATTAAAATAAGACTTACTAAGCATCAGTATATATTATTTCACATCAACACTCTAAGATAGCAAACAAAACGAGTGAAGTTTCTCCAATTGCCAAAAAAAGAACAGATATTAAAGTATTTTAAAATCGAATTAAATGGAAAGAAGGAGAGAGAAAAATAAATTTTATTATTGTTATAACAATTCAATTTTTCAAATGCGATGTAAAATTCAAAAAATTGAAATAGCTTTAGTTAATGTTTTATTCACTAAAAATCTAAAAATTATTTTCATATCACCGAAAAGAATTTCTGTTGTCCCGAGTGGAAAAAACTAAAAATTTCTTGTTAAAATTAACATATCCTCATTAAATTATAAAATTGGAATTTAATCATTTGATAAAGCCTCAAAAATTTAAAAGTATTCAATTTAATCAACTCATTACACATGATGCAATTCTTGATTTTTTCATTGCTTCTGAGAAATAAGTTTTCTTGGACTGAAGCCCAAGATCCTTATAATCTATTCGACATTTCTTACGATGATAAGAAAATAACGGATGGAATCAAGGCAACTTATTTTTCACGAATTAATTTAACCAATGATGATTTGTTAAAATATAAAGGCTTGGTAATAAATCCTTATATTGAATCTGATCCAGATCAAGATAAGATTTATTTGCGATTTAAAATTGTTTCAACAAATCATTATAAGGATAGTTTCTTTTATTTGGACATTAAACCGCATTCTAATGATAATACAAACTTTATGATCCAAAAATTAGGAACGGGAAAAGGTTTCTATCTCAAAGATACGTATTCGGATGTACAAATTTCATTTATTATGGACGATCCGAGAAGAACAACTATTGTTGATAGTGATGGCTATGATCGAGATGAATTACTACCAAAATCATCCAAAAATTACAGAATTCTTTTTGATAAGTCAACACTTATACATCCAAATGAAGAAAAGATAATTACTATTGAAATATCTGCTGAAAGTGTGAATAAAATAACTGTAAGTCATGATATTAGCCATAATGTTGCTTTGAGAAGAGGAGAAAAAATCAACTTTACGGCAACTTTGAGAAGTACAGTTCAAATTCCAAATTTAGATGTTAAAATCTATGCAAATCATGACTCAATGATATAATCATCAATATCAATTGATAGTATCAACACAGATATTCCTGTCAATCTTCAATTTGAAAATTCAATAGGAAACGATTATTTCCAAGTCTATTTTACTTTTGAAGCCGACTCCATTCCAATTGAAGCATTCACTTTTACCGTCAATGCAATTCCACTTAATTTCAGAGTGACGAATCCTCAAACAGATATATTCAAAACTTCATATGATGTAAATTTTGTAGCTTCAGGTATTGAGTCATATCAATTCTGCTATGATTTGAAAGAAGTTACGACATGCCAAGACGAATTAATTCCTTTAACAACCACAGAGACGGCTTATTCACGAAAAATTTATCCAGAAATACCAGAAGAACAAGAAGAAATCATTAAAATTTATTTGAAAAGTTCAAAACAAGTTTCCAATATCGAATCAATCACTTTGGAACAAGCTCAATTTACTATAATACCTCCAACAATTGAAGTATACGACGAACTTACATATAGGGTTAATGCCCCAAGAACATATACAATACCCTTGAAAGTCAATCATATCGGAGTTGTAGGAAGTGTTGATGTTTGTTTAATTTGGAGAGCAGAAAATGTGAAAAACTTAACATATGAAATAGAATCGAATTATCAAGTCATTAATTTTCCAATCGAATTAGAAAATATAGAACGAGAAAGATTTGTTTTTGAGTTTTATAACAATGGGAAGATCGTTGGTACAGAAGAGTTCAGAGTTCAAAACTTGACGGAATGGAATCTTGAATCATTTTTACCTGAATTTGAATTAAATAAAGAACTTGAATTTTTTGCAATGTTTCATGGAGTGCCACCAAATGAACAATTCAATTTGGAAGTATATTATGCAGGACAACTTATTTCATCACAAATATTCTCAACTTTTGAAAATTATTCATCTCATATATTCAGTTTTAACTATACATTTACAGAAATCCCTGACAGGGCATTCAATTTGTACACCCAAAAAGTGGACACTGAAGAAGTGAAAATTCCACATACAATGCCATTTTGGACAAATAATAAAATTTTCAATGTCATTCCATTCAAAACCAAGTTTAATTTAGCAGATACTCTTGAATTCAATGTTACATATATTGCACCTGCAGAAGGAATCTTATGGTGTTCTGCCGAAGGATATTATTTAGATTCATTAAATGTTAAACAGATTTATTCTACAGTGAATACCACACAAACTGTTTCTATTAGAAGTTGGACTGATCTTCATGGTCTATTTTACAAAAATGGCCTGAAGGTGAGAACTGATAACATTCAATACATTAAATCAGGATTATACACTATTACATTTTTAATTAAAGGCAAAGATAAAATAGAAGAATTTCCAGTAGAGATAGAAATTGTAAATGAGAGACCCCAGCTAACAACAGACAAATTCGAAATTAACACAATTGGAAATCAATGCATAATAGAAGGTGTAGAAATCACTTATAATAGACCCGACACAAAATTAATTCTTTATTACCAAATAGAAAATATTCTAGGTGGGGCTCCAATTGTACTTAAATCAGATATTACTTTGACAGAAAATACTATAAAACTAGACGACAAATTCGCGTTCCCAATTAACATTTCAAATCCTAAAATATCTTTATGGTGCAAAGAAGATGTTCGTCCTATAGCATCAAAGAAATTTTCAATTTCTCATCAAATTTCCGCTTCATTAACTGAGTATCCAACTCAAATAGACTATGATAGAGATAAAACAATGCCTATAAGAGGCATTCTTAATACATATGGGGTAGAGATGAATGTAACAATTACAATATATATAAGTGGCTATGGATTCATAATACCGCCTGAACAATTCTCAAATGAAAGTGGAGAAACTGAGTTTACGTACACAATTGATTTAACAAATATACCAGTAGCAAATGAATGGAAATTGTATTTACATGCTAAAGACAATCAAAACAGTGAAATAAAATCTCAAACAGTGTATACAATTGATGTATTTAGAACAAATGTGCAGATTCAGAACGTTAATATTGTTAACAATGCTATCAGAGCTGGAGAAACGCTAAATATTAATTTGGCAATCACTGATGATGATCCAGATTCATATAACCCTTACATTGAATATTATGTAGATAATCAAGAACATAAAATAATGAATATTGAAAGTGATCAAGATAAATCGCAACTATCTCTTAATTTCCCAGTTGATGCTTTCGTTCCAGGACTATACAAATTATTCATGTTTTATGTAGGCTATCAAATTGGAAAAACCAAGCTATATTCATTCGATTTTACTATAATTAGTACTCCACCAACAATTTCAATTGAAACAGATTATTTACTTAATGAATACAGGTTCCTTACGTCCCCTACAATTAATATTGATTCCCTTGCATACAGTCTCAATGGAAAAATCGAAATTTATGTTATCGAAAATGATACACCTAGAAAAATCCTCGAATATACATCAGATTATACACATCATAAATTTGAATACATCCATAAACACCCGCTAATTGAACAGAAAATCAATTTAACATTTTATGTAATTAATGAATTTAATGATAAAACTTTTGCAAGCAATTCAATTGAATATAATGTAGTTCAAAAACCAACATTGCAAACATATACCAATTCAGATTGGTTATTACCAAAACAAACATTTACAATAATATGGAATATGGAAGATGTCTCTCCAAGTGATGAGATAACATTCGAAATTATCTTGTTTGATCGAACAATTCAATACTCTCAAAAAGCTCATCCAAAATCTGACTATACAACAGATAATTTCACATTTGAAGGAAATTCAGGTGATAACTATGGAAGTTCTTTTTATGAAATCTTGGCATATGCACAAAATTCAGAAATTGATAGAGTATCTCATTTGATCACTGTTAATGCAACTCCAAGATTTGAGAATGTTCAATGCAATACTTCTTTAGCAGCAGGAGACAAATTAACTATTATTACAGATTTTGAATGGAATTCATTCAAAGAAGTCTACGCACATGGTGAATACGCTTTGTTAAATGTCAAAATTAAAGCTGAATATCCAGAATTAAATTATAGATTTGATAATTCAACACTCAACAAAATGAAAGAAACAATTACAAATGGAGAAACTATTATTCCATTATATATGTATTTCGACGATATAACTAGTGTTCATTCATTGACATTGTATCTTTGTGACAGTTATATAATTTATAAATCTCTGACAAAGACATTTAGATTATCTGATCGAAAACTTCCATCAATAGAACTACTTAGTATATCTAAAACATCAGAGATACAAATGTATCAAGATGAAGTTTCTATTGATGTAAAAGTTAAAGATGAAATACAAAATGAAAATGTTAAAGTTTTCTACATAATTGGAGGATCAAAGTTCGAAATAGGAAGTGGACAATTATCAAATGGACAAAAAGATTTCCATTGCATTCTAGATCTTTTTGATGACTCCTCTGGTCCTTATTTAATTCTTGCAGAGGATAGCCAAGGATGTGTATCCAATTTGATTCCTCAATACCTTACCTTTGAAGAAACACATAATGAATATTTGAACATCATTGAATGGAAGACAAGTTTTGATGAAGGAGATCCAATCACAATTAAATATCAATTAAATAATCTCCCAAGAAGAAAGGAAATAACAATTTCATTCATGAACCATTCTTCAACAAACGAAATTTACAATACTAAGATTACTACTGATGAAAGTGGTAATTCAAACGCACTTGAATATCAATTTGGTGTTCTTCAAAATATTGATATCTTTGAGGTTGATCTTATTATTAAGATCCAAAGCATTATATTTGAAAACAAATTGCTAACTACAGGTATTAATGATATACCAATTTTAACAATTATAACTCCACCATCAGGAAATTATGGTATGATGTCTTGTATTCAATTTGAAGCAAACGTCAAATCTAAATATAAAGACATTGCAGTTCGTGTCTCAATTGAAGGTGGGGAAACAGATATTGGGGGTGAGATACATTTATTGGAATATGATTCAAATAGAACACTCTATTTCCAGTTTTATGGCGTCCCAGAAGAAACTGATCTAACATTTCAGTATTACATTCAGAATAGAGCTGGTTCAGTATCCCAAAAATATACTGCTACAATACATTGCGTTCCTCATATTGCAAATTTGATCATGATTGAAAATTGGGATTTCACAGAAAGTGCATTATCTGATGTTGGGATCACTAAATTTGAAACAATTTCCACAGTGTCGGCAATGATATTAAATCCTGTTGAAGGAATGAAATTAAAGGTATATTATCAATTGAATAATGATGAACCAATCTTTATCAAGGAGGTTATTTCAGAAGCAAAAATACCCGAAGGTATGTTTGGCCCTGGAGGAGGTTCAGGAGAAGATCCATATGGTCCTGGAGGAGATCCAGGAGAAGATCCATATGGTCCTGGAGATGAAGAATATCCTGAGGAAATGTCTGATTCTAGAAGTGCTAATCCTTTACGAAAAATATCATCTGACGAGGAGGGGTATCCAGATGATATGTCTGAAATCTACCAAATTGAAACAATTCAATTCAATTTACCAAATATTGCCCAAAAAACTCTAGTTAAAATATTTTTCATTGATGAAGAAGGTAGTAGAAGCAATACAGTCATGAAAACATTTAACGTAATAAAGCAGCCAGAATTTAGATGCACCGCAGTCGAAGAATGGGATAAATCACCTGTTGGATTCCCAGGAGATTTATATACATTGTCATGCCAAGCAGTTGAATACGAAATCGGAAAAGAAATCCAAGTAATAGTTACTTCAGACTATTTAGAAACAATGCAAAAGTCAATTGTAATGAAAGAAAATTATAAGAGCGATGTAGCATTGTTCGAATTTGCAGCTCCTGATCAACGAACATTCGATATTTCTATATCAGCAGAAAATAATAATTTGGCCATGCATTGCTATGTTAAAATGGTTCCTTTAATTGCATTAAATATTGAAGAAGAAATGGATTTAAGTGGAGAAGATCGATACATTTTCAAGTTTAGAATAAATTCTGTAGAACATTATAATGTAGAATGCAATTTTAGAGAAGTATTACAGAGGAAAGAAGAATTTACTATATCATCTGTAGATATTGAATTTGTTTATCCATTTGAAGATTTCGAAGAACATTCTGGAGAGTTCTCAATAAGTGTAACTTTATTTGATTTAGAATCCGAATTTAGATACAACTTTGAAAAATCAATAAAGTTTATTATTGAGGAACCGGAACCAGTTGATCCAACACCTGATCCTGAAAATCCAACACCTGACCCAGAGAATCCAACACCTGACCCAGAGAATCCAACACAAAATCCAGAAGAACCAACACAAAATCCAGAAGAACCAACACAAAATCCAGAAGAACCAACACAAAATCCAGAAGAACCAACACAAAATCCAGAAGAACCAACACAAAATCCAGAAGAACCAACACAAAATCCAGAAGAACCAACAAAAGAACCTGTTCATCCAACTGTGGAACCTCTCAAACCTTCTTCAACATCTAATGTTCCATCAAATGATGACTCAGAAGATCCATCCAATAATATTGAAAACTCAGCTTCCCTATTTCGCAAAGTATTGATTTGGCCTTTGATAATATTAGTAATAATCGGATGTGCAATTGCAGCATTTTTTGTTTTTAAGTATCTCAAATCAAAACGTGATACACAAAATCCTGATAATGTAGATAATGTTGACACAATTGAGAGTTTGCCTCCTCTTGATGAAAAAAGTATCAATTTTGAAAGTGAAGACGAATCAACTAAATCAAGTGGAAATATTGATGAACAAGCTCCACAAGGTGATATATGGATTTAAAAGACACAATATCTATCTCATATTTGAGATATTTATCCTAAAATTTTTAATTTTTATTTTAATATTTCTTTTATAACTTTTAATAGCATTCCAAAATCAATAAAAATAATGCTAGCTAACTAATCTATAAAAAGGTACATTCACTATTTTTGACAAAATTTTAATTTTTCATGGGGTTGTAAATCTTATAATAACTAGATGAATAAGGAATGAATCCCAGTATAATGTGCATCATTATATTAAACACTATATGTAAGGCTAATGATTCTATTAACACTTATGAAGATCTATAGTATTTGAGCAGATAAATTTGATAATTTCCAAAACTCTTATATTTCAAAATTAAAGTGTGCGAATGCATTTAAATGAGAGCAAAAAGAGATTGATGCTGTTAAAACTAGGTGTTAATTTGCAATTATTTCGCATCACAAGAACTACCCAGTAAATTCGGCTATCTTTCTTTGCAATTATTCTCCATTATCTAAAATATTTTTACGATTTTAACCATGTGTTGTTGAAACCATATATCAATCTTAGCTAAAGTATAGTTTATGAGTCTGTCACCATCTAACGTATGAATTTTCAAAAATGTCAAATATGTTCATTTTTTCTGTAGATTCAGCCATAATTTCATGTTGTTATACTATTCAACTATTATTTAATATTTTTATCGATTTAAATATATGATGAGATGCTTAGTTCTCCTGGAAATCGATTTTTAATCGCAATTTTAACTTTCCAAAAAAAATTCAAAAATAAAAATCCCTCTCAATTTTCTCAGTTTTATAACTCGCCAAATCTCTAGCCAAATTTTTTTGGCCCGTATAAATATTGTTAGGCACTATATAGGGATGCTATTTATCCTATTTTCATCCCATTTTACTGTTATCGCCTAGTGAATGTACCTTTATCTATAATTATGATAATTCTGCTTCAAAAATAAAATTCTATTTTTTAAATAAAGTCATTTTATGAAAATTATTAGTAATATCAATATTAAAATAAAAGTGTAATGAATGTATTTCTGTTCAAAGATTAAAATATCGCTATTTAAAAAAATATTACAGAATTCTGAGATTAAAATGAAAAAATTTGCGCTTATTTTCATTTTACAAACTAATATAATCAGAAATAGATTATTTATCCTTTGTTCAACTTGAATATTTTGGAAAATCAAACAGTTTTCCTTTAGAATTCAATTAATCTTATGCAGATCTTCTTTTGGAGATTTGTAATGTTGATTGTACTTGCTTATATTCGACAAAAGTCAATTTGATTTGATTTCTTTTTCGTAAACTTTCTGATTTGAAAGATGTTTCGAGTGCGATTCATATGTAAGTCGAATCCATTAACTGTGCGTTCTTTTCTAATTTCTTCATGTTAGGTTCATGATTTTTCTGCATTTTTTGACCAAAAACAGTAATATAGAGCAGCATAATTATAATGAAGTCAGACATTACGTGCATTATTGCAAAAAATCCAGTAATTCTGACGTTATTCTCGTATGCGCGTGAAATAGCATGTAAACATGTTTTTGTCTTACTCTCCTTGCATATATCCATTGGAAATTCATCGACAGAATAAAAACCGCAGCATTTGAAAATTACTTGTATAAATGTTGTTTGAGGTTTGTTGATATTGTTTTCCCATGCACTATGGTACCTATTGAAAACATTTTTTGGATCAAATATCCATTGAGCACCGAAAATAAAATATAATAAAATGCTTACTGCAGAAATGAACATTGTAATATACATAAATACATTTGAATCAGTAACGTAGATTATTTCGAAGAGCAATGCTAATATTACGAATGAAGTTAAAGAAAATTTAATACAATTTATGTGAAATTCTGAGAGATAAATGACTCCAGATTCGATCATCCATGACCGTGTTAGGATCATGCATAAAATATCTGCAATTATGTTCGTTAGACATATCGAAAGAGGAATCCATTTATTTGACATTAAAAAAAATAAGCATTTCGTTTTATTTTGTTAAGGGAAAAATTCTAGAAATATTAAGTATAATATATTTTTTAATATAAAAAAGCTTGTTTAGCAATGATTACAGATTTCAGATGTAAATTTCCAATAAAGCTATATTTATGATATAAAATTAATGTATTCATTGAATACATATCTTGAACCATAAAATGATAGTTTCAAACCATGAACAGCAATGAATTTGGATTTCATCAAGGAATATGATAGCAAATCTGTTTTAAATGAAAGTTTTTTAAATAAGTGTGATCACCTTACAGAACCACAAGTCTATCATTATATGAGAAATCAATCTTATGAATTATGTGAGTTGATAGGATTTCATTAGCCAAAGAACTCATAGCCATTATACATATGATGTCCAGCGCTGGATTATTTAAATATTTGCATAATAAAAAGAAAAATTTGAAGCATCGTTATATGAAAATCACTTATTTCAGCTAAAATAAAGCTAAAAAATGCTCGTATGTATCTATGGAGGCAGAATGGAAGATGTTTAATGATGGCTAGTTAAGGTGAAGAAATACGACATGTGACATGAAATATTTTTGAATTGTGATGGATCAATTAAAATCCGTCACACAGTCAATAGGAGTAGAAGGAGTATTTGATGTAACTTTGAAAGATAGACCCCCTTTTCGTGCAAAATGCATAATTCGATTTGTTTTTCTGATTATCGAAGGCGAAAAACAAAAAAGTCTAATATTTTTACCGGAATATGGTCCTGCTATTTTCGGATTTGGAAATTCTGGCAATTCGATTATGTTTTCACCATTAGATATCGATCTTCATAGTGAAATCGTATTATCAGGCAAAGAAAGCGGCTCAATCCACAATTTTTACAACTACGCGTCAAATTCATACTTAGCTATGAAAGAATTTTGTGCAATCAGCGATCGAGATTTATCAAGACAAGAATATTTGATTTATTATTCAGGAATTAACAACGTTGAGCGTCCTATTTGCTTACTATTAAAGGATCAAAAAGTAATCCTCGATGAAAATGAGACAATCATTGATACAATCGAGATAAATTCACGTACAAAAATTACATTGAGCGATGCACGCCAAGAACCAATGTTCGGAATATCTAACAAGATGGGCCAAATCATTTGGTTCCAGTCATTTGATGTAATAAGTGTTATGCAGTGGTTTTTGGCATTATATATCACAAAATACTATGTAACAGAAGATCAACAATCCGTAATCAACAAAATCAAGCTATCTAGTACAATCGAAGCAATTCCTTCACCTGTAAAACCTTCACCTCAAAAAGTTGTTCAAAATTCTCTCGAAACGCTTACTCCTGTTCGAAAACAACCAGAAACCACTCGAGAATCACCAGTTACATCTCCATTTACTACTCCGAAGAAGGAAACCCATAAAGATGAACTTAGAAAACAAAATGAATCTTTATTAACTGTTTTAAACTTGAAACAAACGCAATACAAAGAAAGGCAATACTTATCACAAGAGAAAGACCCAGAGTTATACCCTCCACAACTCTATAATACATCTGAAATCAAAGAGAATGTCGAATTCCCAGAAATTGAGAGGAAAACGATCAATGATGTTTTAATTAGATCTATCGTTCTCGAGTCATCAGAAATTCCGAAAATATCTCCATCGCATTACTTTAAGAATCCTATAGCTAATCCTGGATTATACAGATTGAATTTGAATTATAATCCAGAAAGTAATTTGCTTTTCATCAATAAGTACAAGTCCGCTGACCCCCAAACAGCTTACCAACTGTTAGTCAGTATGGTTTTGTGCCAGTTCAATGATAAATCCATACTCGAAGTATATAATGTTCATGATTCGACTTCAAACCAACAGGGACAAGCCATGGCAGTTGTAGATCATTACAAAAGCGATCTACCGGCTTATATTCTTAGCCATCCCGAGATATTGACTCATTACAGAGTTTCTGCAATTGTTTACGATACGAAGTTACTTAAGGAACTTCCGAAGAAGGAACTACAAAGAGCAATTAATTTCCAACCTTTGTATCGGTTTCCTCATGATCCAATTCGAGATTTAAGACATTCAATGAATTACGCACTCCAAATGGCCAAGATAAGAAGATTTAATCCAATCAAGGTCTTCCAAGACTTTAGCCGCGCTTGGATTGCTGTTTTTCAGAATCATTGCAAATTTAATCTCGAATCTTTCTTCATTCGTATTTCTTCTGATCAGAGACAGAATGATACATGGGCAATCTTCAGAGATGAGACAGAATTGAAGCAGAAATGGCCTCTTTTTCTTCTTCATTCGATGAGAGACGAAAAAGTTTTAGAAAATCTCCTCCTAACGCTATCGAATAAGTCCGTTATTAACGCTTTTTACGACGATTGCGCCCAAATTAGAAGAGATGAAGTTATTGACGAACTCGTGTTTTACACGTGCATTTTCGCCAACTTTTACATCAAAATATCCAATAATGGAGTTGTTGAGTCACCATTATATGGCCCTCAGTTCGAAGCAATCTTCAAATAGAAAAAAAAATTATAATTTTTTTTATATGTAAATATATTTGTTAGTTATCGTTAACTTATAACTATTATTTTATGATTCTTTAATTGATTTCTTGATTTAGGTTTGATTTGTAATTTTTATTGTCGAAGAAATCAAAACTTCATTGTAATATGCCTATTTATTTGTTTAAATTAATCTCTTCTCATTAATTTGATCGTAATCATATTCTTTACGAATTCATTTTGAGAGGTTCAATCGAAACCCCAAAATTTCCATACCAATAAATGTGTTATGATTAGTATATTATTTATCAGATATATTTAATTTATATACATTAAGTCACTTTTGTCAAAAATTTTTAGATGAATTTTTCGCGGAGAGGGAATACTTTAAAAAACACAGCAGTTGATTCCGTGACTAACTTTTCATCTAAGAGGAGAGCTCAGTCTATAAGCAATGCTCACACCACAAAATTATTCCTCGCACCTGCTGATCCAAACCAAAAATCAGATAATTCAAAAAAACAATTTTTTTCCTATAACCTGTCTACAAAACCATTCACAAAAGATGAACTACTTACTTACGCTGGTACGCTTACTGATATGCAACTTATTCTATTTGCCCAATTTATCAAAATGGAAAATCCTTCGAGAGAAAAAATTCTAAATGCAGTGACAGCGATAAGCGAAAACGATACAGTTGCTCTTAATTTCTGGACACAATGCTTCTATAGCGCAACGAGACCTTCACAACAAGCTCTAATTCCACAAAGTACAGGACCTGTCACTAGCTATCCTTTGAATAACATACAATACGGACACTGCCCAGAAGAAACAATGATTATGGCAACACCATTTATCTTAGGAACTTCATTTTTTGATAAAGTCTTTACTATTGATAATATTCCAAAGAGGCATCGCGTAATTTTGCAATGCTTCCGCGCTGGAGTTGCCCCTGCTACTGTATTATGGCCGCAAACTTTAGGAATTTATATCAATGGATATATTGCAAAATCTCCAACCGCAAACTCAAATTCCAACATCATGTATACTAATATTGACATAAGCGAGTTCTTACCAAGCTTTACTCTTCGAGTTACGTGTAGTACAGAAAACATTCCTTCTGTATTCCTTGTAAGAGTTGTAAAGTACTTCACCTTCAAAGAGATTGTACAAATAATACGAAACAGACCATATCCGAACGATTTTCTCGATGAAAGAAATCGAGATGTTTTTACACCGAAACCTGCAGGAGCCGTGAAGTATCCTGGACGCACTACGTTCTGCGAACACCCACAGTGCTTCGATTTGAAGCATTTTATTAAGTTTGCAACGTTGACTGGAATATGGAGGTGTCCGATCTGCGGGAAACAGACGAATCCTGAAAGTTTGAGATATTCAAACCTCACTGAACAGTATCTCAACAAAATTAAGTCTGCTTCTCAGCCTGTTTCACCTCAACTGAATTATAATCCTGCTTTCTCGTCGCCTGATGCATTCCAGAGTCAGACTCCGAATGCTACTATGGATCAGTCACAGATTGACGTGTTTAGTCTAGATCCAAACCAGAATAACGATGATTTCGAATTTTTCTCTTAAAATTCGATTTGTTTACACAATATAAATGAAATGAGGTGATTTATTAGACATTTCCCAGATTTCTAGTGATTTTTTTATGCAAAATATTAGTATTTTTTTTCTTTCTTTAATTTTTTGAAGATAAATGTAATTTGTTTTGATTATTTCTTTTCATATATTAATCTTCTTTAACCAATATGCCTAAAATCAAACAAATAAATGCTGATTTGTTCTGAATTACGGACTTGTGTATCAAAAATAAATTTTTAGGATACCCATGAAGATTAGAAAAATCTTATTTTTGCTAATTGAATATAACCTGATTATATTTTCTATCTATTATTTTCAAATTGCATCTTTTCTTATTAAGATGCATTCTTTCTGTATATACAAACATATATAGTATTGCAAAGAGGTATTTGTATATACTGCACCCACATTGAATGACCATATGGAGTTTGGTATCTTAACATCATGGAAAATTTATATTTAGAAAATAATGACATAAATGCATAATAAAATAATTTTTAGATATATTAAGAATATGACAGGGCACCTAAATCCACATACTTCTTCAGAAGATAATATCAAGATATTGATCTATTGATAATAAGTACGTAGCTATTTAGTTTAACGTGCTCCTGCCTTAAAAAGAAGATTCACAATCTTTCTGTAGTTCTCATTTTCGTTTTGATTTTCTTTTGCTAAATCAAGTGGAGTTTGTCCGTCATTGTTTTTATCATTAAGATTGGCCCGAATTGAAACTAAATATTCAACGACATCGAAATTTCCTTTTAGTGTTGCCCAATGAATTACTGAATTATTAACATCTGTTTTCTCATTTTTATTGCACCCACAATAAATGAGGTATTTAACTACTTCAAGATGATCCATTACTGTAATAAACAGAAATTCATCAAAAGTGACAGCTCTCAATTTTTTGACATTTGTAAATTCTAAATTGAATGAGAAAAATGAAATAATACTAAGCATAAGACAATATTCTAGATTTAATTATAATTAGGAAAAAGTTAGTTTTGAGAGTACTTTTCATAGGCATATAGAATGAAATCTTCTGAAAAATAATATCACATAAACTCATATTATTTTCTAATATATAACTATTTTATATAAAAATCAAATTCAATGATCTTAAAAGCGAAGGATAAACCTCAAAATTTACGAATATAATGAGTGGGAATATAATGCTTATCTATCATAAAACCATATGAAATATCAATTTTTGCTTTACGCCTAATTTTTGACGACAATTAGCAAAAAATGTTAAATGTTAACACTCAGTCCATTTGAATATGAAAAATAAAATTGACTTTGATTAAATGTTTTTATTTATCATGCAATTCTTCTTGCGACCAAAGATTTGAATAAAAGTTCAAAAAATAAGATAGCTTAAAAAATAATATACGGTAGTGTTTACTAATAGATGAATAGTATATAAATTCTATTAAAATGGATTTGATCCAAAAAATATATAAAATTTGATCATAAATAAAATCGTTTTAAATTACTTCTTCATTTAAATTATAACAATTATTTTTGGTTTTATATTTTTTTGGATCAAATCCATTTTAATAGAATTTATATACTATTCATCTATTAGTAAACACTACCGTATATTATTTTTTAAGCTATCTTATTTTTTGAACTTTTATTCAAATCTTTGGTCGCAAGAAGAATTGCATGATAAATAAAAACATTTAATCAAAGTCAATTTTATTTTTCATATTCAAATGGACTGAGTGTTAACATTTAACATTTTTTGCTAATTGTCGTCAAAAATTAGGCGTAAAGCAAAAATTGATATTTCATATGGTTTTATGATAGATAAGCATTATATTCCCACTCATTATATTCGTAAATTTTGAGGTTTATCCTTCGCTTTTAAGATCATTGAATTTGATTTTTATATAAAATAGTTATATATTAGAAAATAATATGAGTTTATGTGATATTATTTTTCAGAAGATTTTGTGTTCTTCTTCAAAATTTTATTTTTTTATTAAAAAGAATCTTTACAAAATATACATTTACTTTAATTAATATTTAAAAACGTGCTCTATCAAAAGTTCCAAAAATTCAATATTTTAGCTTTTCTGAGGTGTCACTTTTGGTGAATTTCTGTTTACAACATTACTGATGCAATAATTATTGGAGACCATACATTACTATATTTTACATCTGGGTTAGCTCCAACTGATATTAGATATTTAACTACTTCAAGATGACCTCGTTCTGATGCAGAAATTAGGGGAGTAAATCCACCATTTATTTTTGAATTTGGATTGGCTCCGATTGATATAAGATATTTAACTATTTCAAGATGATTTTCTTGCGATGCAGCATATATTGCATCACTTCCATCAGTTTTATTTCGATAATTCTTGTCAAATCCAACTCCAATTAAATATTTTACAATTTCAAGATGTCCAGAGTATGATGCTTTAAGTAAACCATTATTATCACAACCTCCTTCTATAAGAGATCTTAATAATTGAAAATCTCCTCTATAACATGCCTCAAGAAGTGGAGTATTTCCAATTGACGATCATTTTTCACTTAAACCAGCTGCACATGAGAAAAAAAAATCTAAAATTGACCGATATGATTACTATTATTCAGGCGGATATAGACATGATTCATTATGCAAATCTAGATCTGTTACAACACCAAAGCTGAAATTAATGAATTTTAATATCATAAAAGCTTTATATATTGATTCCTTCATGTTTACATTGAGCGATGAAAATTAATAAATGCATTTACAGTTCTTTTTATGCAATCGTTTTATGTTCAAAGAAATAATCATTTACGATATCACTTTCAATTGATGATAAATTTATTTCGCGCCTGATTGAACTAGGAATTCAATTATATTTCTGTATTTTTCATTTTCGTTTTGCTTCTCTTTTGCACAATCAAGTGGAGTTTTTCCTTCATTGTCTTTATGATTTAAATCGACACGAATCGAAACTAAATATTTAACAAGATCAAAATGCCCAAAAGATGCAGCATAATGAAGTGAAGTATCATTATGATTGTTTAAATCATTCTTATCGACTCCGCATTGAATGAGATATTTAACTACATCAATATGACCATTTTCTGATGCAGCATGTATTGGAGAGCATCCATTATTATCTTTTCCTTCTGGATTAACCCCAATTGAAAAAAGATATTTAACTACGTCAAGCTGACTATTATTTGATGAAGTAGTCATGGGCGAAAAACCATCATTAGTTTTTTCATTTGGATTAGCCTTAACTGAAATAAGATACTTAACTACGTCAAGATGACCATTATGCGATGCAGCAAATATTGGTGAAAATCCATCATTAGTTTTTTCATTCGGATTAACTCCAACTGAAATAAGATATTTAACTACATCAAGACGACCATTCTGTGATGCAGCATGAATTGGTGAATATCCTTCATTATTTTTCTCATTCGGATTGACTCCAAGTGAAACGAGATATTTTACTGCTTTAAGATGACCATACAATGATGAAAAGAGAATACAATCATTACCATCTTTATTTTTTGATTTTACATCGCAACCTATGCTTTTTAGATATTTAATTACTTCAAGGTTACCAGAAATTGATGCTACAATAATTGGTGTAGATTCATTATTGCTTTTTGCATTTGGATCGGCGCCGCATGAAATAAGACATGTAATGATTTCAAGATTGCCTTCTTGTGATGCAGCATAAATTGATGAACATCCATTATTATTTTTTTGATTTGGATCAGCCCCAATTGAAATAAGATATTTAACTATTTCAAGTTGACAAGTTAATGAAGCATAAAGAATAGGATTATTTCCATTAGTTTTGTTACGCCAGTTCTTGTCAAAACCGGCTTCAATTAAATATTTAACGATGTCAAGACGTCCATTAGCTGATGATAAAAGTAAGCAATTATTTCCGTTTTTATCAATTGCATCTTTGTCACATCCTGATTCGGTAAGAGATTTAACAAATTGGAAATCCCCATTAATACATGCTTCAAGCAAGATTGTGTTTTCATCTGAGTTTCGCTTTTCACTTAATCCAACTGCACATGAAATAGGCATTTTAATATTATCACACTTCTTTGTAAGTCCTTCAAGGAAATTATCACGCTTTTTAGAAAATTCTTTAAGGAAATTGTAAGCTGTATCAAAATCTGAATTTAATGGAATTTCATGTATTGTCGCAATTTTATTAATTCTTTGTTGTAATTGATTATTTTCATTATGACATTTGAATATTTCATTCATGAGTTGTGCATTTTGAATATTAAATTGTGATATTTCATTTTGAAGTTGTGTTTGATTATTTTGATTTTCTATGTGTTTAGTAAAGAAATCTATTAATCCAGATGATGATTCGAGTTTCAAACAGGTTTCGTAGATTTTAAGAATATTAATAGCGTCTTCAAATGTTTTAACACAAACTTTGCATTTTTGAACAAATTTATATAATTTTGGTAATGAATATTTTGTTTTACCTTGCAAAAGAAGAGTCTTGAAAAGAGTTGGATCAAGATTTGCTTTCTCTAAAATGTTTGGAATGTTTTCTTGATCGATATATGTTTGAATATTTTTTGCGATATAGTCTATATTTAAAGAAAGACTCATCACAAAAAAATTATCAGATTTTTTTCTGACCAAACGGTCTGTATCGTCATTTATTTATTATATCTTCAAGTTCAATTTTCATCAATATTCTAACAAAGATGATCTAATAATCAACTACAATATGTGCATATTTTCGATGTATACTATTTAAATATAGGCTATTGAAGGACAATAGTTTGTTTATGACCATATTATTAAACACGACAATCTTAACGCATTTAATGAAGGATATACTAAGTCATAAAAATGATATGATCTTTTTAAGGTAGTTGCTACAATAATAGTCTTTTAATATGTGGGATTAATTTAATCTAGTTTATTTTTGATTTATAAATTGATTGCTTCAATTTTAAATTTGATCAAAATTTTACTTTATGCATATAAAAATGGAAGTTGCAACTTTTTATTAAATAATAAAGTCATTTTAGAATGCTATAATTGAAATTTTGTTTATTGTGCACCTAACCTTATAAGAAGATTCATGATCTTTTTATAGTTTTCATTTTCGTTTTGTTTTTCTTTCGCACAATCAAGTGGAGTTTTTCCTTTATCGTTTTTATCTTTAAGATTGACATCAATTGAAACCAAGAATCGAGCAACTTCAAAATGTCCACTTGTAGCTGCAAAATGAATGGGAGAATCTTTATCTTTTGTTTTATCATTTTTATCACAACCACATTGAATGAGATATTTAACTATATCAAGATGGCCACAATTTGATGCAGCATGTATTGGAGAACATCCGTCATCATCTTTTTCATTTGGATTTGCACCAATTAAAATAAGATATTTAACAACATCAAGATGGAATGATCATTTCATCATAGAAAGAAAGCCTTTAATAAACTGGAGCAAAATTGACATCGACATTCTTGTTCTTGCAAAGAATGTAATCGTTCGTTATTCGCTCTGAATAAATAGAAATAGGAAATTCATTCCAGCGATCACATAAATCTGCTCAAACCGTCAAAACACAATATATTGAGATTTAAATATAAGATAAATTTGATTTGACCGTATTTCATGCCTCAAAGCAACTCATACTATGAGTCATAGTGTTCTATTTGCAATATATAAATATATTTTGATATATGATCCATTAATTTTTCAATTTCGATGAAAATTATTTTAAATGATCATGTTTTAAACAATCACTGGATGAATTATTATACAAAATAACATATAAAACATAATATTTTCGATTTACAAAACAAACAAAAATATAAAATAAAAACAAAAATTTCATTCATTTGGTTCCTCTTCAGCTTCAGCCATTTCTTCTTCCATTGCTAACTGAACTGATTGCAAGTTCGCTCTGAAGAAGTCAATTCTTGTTTCATCACCTTCAACAGCTGCAATGACTAATTTATCTGAATCAGGAGTGTTTTCTATTATTTCCATTGCCAAAGACAACAATTCTCTTATTTCAGATTTACCAAGCTTGTGAAGTTCAATTATTGACGGGTGATGTGAAAATTCAACCGCCAAAACTCTCAAAAACAAGTCATTGAAATTTCCTTCCGCTCTTTGGAAGAGCCACAAGAAGAAGGAGAAGCAATCGCTTTCCAGTTCAAAATCTAACTGTATCGGCATTGCAGAAAGAGCCAAAGGAATTACTTGACTCAAATCGTATTCATCAGGTGACATTATGTCCATTACGAACTTTCCAAGGCATGTAACGCATCTGTCTCTCATCAATATGGACCTTTCGACCAAATTTACTTTGTTCGGGTCCAAGTGATTCAAGAATATTTGGATTAATTTTTCGGAATAAGGACGAACGAGGTCTCTATCAACTGTTGCTAGAGCTCGAAGACAAAGGAATGCAGATCCATCATCTGTTTGGTCTCCTTCCACTGTTGTTAATGATGCTTCGAGAGCTTTGTTTTTTAAGTCATCTTCGACTTTGCAACTCGAATAATTCAATAAACTCGATAGAATACTCAAAGCAATCGACCGAAATCGAATTACATTTGATGTCGAAAAAGTGACAAGGGAAGGAATTAATGGGGCGATAAGTTCCAACATTCTTTCTCCGGCTGCGTAGCTCAGCATCATCAGGAAATCGCAGGCAGCGTTAAACAAGTCTCTTCCGCGTTCGGTTGGCCTCTTTAATTGAGTCTGCGGGTCGTTTATCATTTGGCAAACTACATCTATAAGTTTCTCTATATGCTCGATCAATCCCGTGTAGTCTATATACGTTATGATCTGTTCCGCACTCAGGAATGACTGGTAGCAAACGTTTGCATCGCATTCACTTGCCAATTTTACAATAATTTCTCCAATATTTTGGGCAATCTCCTTCTCAGTATCGGTATTTACAGGAGTCTTCCTTGCCAGGTTGACCAGCGACGCAGCTGCGGCTATACGGCATGAAGGAGCGATAGAAGTTGATTGTAATTGGCAACATTTGATCAATTCTTCATGGAATTGGTCGAAATAGTCATTGGATATGACAATGATATCTGATAAAAGCTTAAGACTTGAAGCGCTTTTTTCAAACTGTGGAGGTAACTCGTATCCTTCATCATTATTTTCTTCTTTGTAGAATGGTGAGTAATCAAGCTCAGCATTCTCAAGAACAAAAGGTAATAATCTCGATATGTACGGTTCGATCGATTTCGTTGAGCCATCAGGTAATTCAATATACATTGTTATGATTTTCTCAAGAGCTGTGATGCATGATGCTGAGAGTTCTTCGTTATTGAGGTTTTCGATAAGAAAAGTGAACGTTGTCGGTACATATTCGTCAAATGTTGGACCAATTGCGACAGCAACGATTGCTATTGTCGCAACAGCAGGTCCTTTCAAGTGTTCGAGGGCATCCGATGCACTGTTGATGATATCAAACAATATATTGAGTAGTTGCGGGTAATAAACGAAAATTTTGAGGGACGACCACTTTGCGAGGTTCGAAATTGACTGTAAAGCGGCCGATTGTGTCTCCACGTCACATTCCTGTACAACAGAGACCAAAAAAGGGAAAAATACGTCGAAAACTCGGTCAGTTTTCTTTGTAGCGTCCAAAAGAGAAGCAAGAACAGTCAGAAGTTCACCGGAGATGTTCTCTTGGCAGGTGTTTGCTACATCATTGATGAAAGCGAAGGAAAGTTCGTCAGATTCAAATACAAATGTAGATACAAAGTCATCAGCGCTTCTTGCGCATGAATCTCTAAGTAAGTTGGAGTCTGATAATATTCCTGCCCTCAAAATCGATATAACTTCTTCTAGTTTTTGGGAATAAAAATCAATAGCTACTGTATACGTTGCAGACATCATTCTTGAGAATGCGAATAGCCCTGCCGGCTCAGAAGACACCTGCATGCACATATCCCACATTGGCTGAATAGTGTCCGCTGTACAAAGATCTGTAAAAATTTGCTCAAGGAGTGGAGCGTTGCTCAATATGAATTGGTCATCGGGTTCGAAGATCTCCATAATGTATGTCATGTACATTTCGATGATTGGAGCCGCATTTTCAGATTCGATGACAATTTGAGCATAGTTATGGCAAATTGCTTGTATAATGAGGTTAAGTTGGAGTACTAGTTTCGAATCTTCTTTGCTTTTTGTGAATTGGTCAATGCATTTTTCTAATAATGGAATTGGATTTCCAACGACTGGAGAATGGCCTAGTGCCGATGCGTATAAAGTAACTAGTCTTGAAAATAGTAAATTGTTTCCGATAACTAAATCGAAACAGTTGACACAGGCTTCCCAAAATGAAGAATTTGTTTCTGCTGAGCAATCAATGACATTGTTCTCAAGAAGGAACTGTACAGCAGCTATCAATACTTCTGGTTGCTGTGATTGGAATGCAACTTCAACCATTTCGTAAAAAAAATTCGTAACGCTTTGATCGTTTATCGATTCAATGAAACCTTGAGGGAATAGTGCAGATAAAAGTAACGCGATTTCTAAATATGCGGTATTCTCTTTGCTGATACAGAACTTGATGAAATCCATAATTATTGAACAGTAATCTGGTGAAATTGCTTTAGAAAGAATGTCTATGATGTTTCTTCTGATAGTCCACTCTGGTTCTGTGGTAATCATTGATAGCAATATTTGAAAAACTTCAGCACGAGATTCAACTGCAACACTTTCCCATGCAAGACCTACACATTTGTTGAGACCAATTATTGCATGTTGTCTGTCTGTCGGATCAGAAGACTGTTTGTAAAAATTTATCAGGTGCTGAATTGCGATTGCTTGTTTGTAGAACGAATCAAGCCATTTCGTTGCCTTTTGAATTTGTTCATCAGTAGGGCATTTTGATCTGAGAAGGAGGTAGCACTGTGTTAGAGTTTCATATACAGCACTATCATCCATCTTACAAAATGAACCTTTTCACGTATCAAAATTCATATTATACTCATATATCATTATTATAACATATATTTCATTTTAAAACCATATGATTCTTTAAGGGTGCACACGAGAGGATCATGTAAACTTCAGAATTTAGAACCTTATTTTTAGGCATTATCTTGGCTACCTATTTAGGCTCGAAAAGCAAAAAATATCAAAAAATACAACTTGACTCCATTATGACCCTTTCATGGAGGTAGTTTTTATCCGCTAGTATTTTCCCTTTGAATCTCTTTACAATTCGAAATCAAATTCAAATCTCAGTAGAAGAAAGGAAGAATCGACTTACTACGGTTGTAATACGAATAAATACATATATTTAATTATTTTTATTTACATAATAATTGTTTGAAGCTCATATTCCATCAAATTTTTAAATAAAAACATTAAAATGTTGAAAATGTTCATATATTTTAATAGGGTTTTGGCACTTTATTGAGGAATTACTACATACATAGTCGAACTGAACTTGATATTTTGAAATTTAAATTATTTATCAAAATTAAAATTTAACTTGAAATTTATAATTATTTAGTCATATTTTGCATAATTCTAAGTAGATTTTGTAAAAAATCAAGAAAGAAAAATTTTAACGTGCTTTTTTTTCTTTTTTATAATAATACATATTATATTAATTAACATATTCATAATGTTTCACCCTTTCAAAAATATAATCCTCCTCCTCTCAAATAAACGTACATACGGGTGGCCTCTTTTTTCAAAAAATTAAAATTTGAAATTTTGGGCTCAAATATTAGAGATTTTTTCAACCTTCAACGATATATGTTGTCTATATCAGACCTCCTTTCTTTTTGATACTTAACATTGTTCCTAAATCTTAGCCGTTAAGGCTGTTCTGAAAATATTTTTTTTTCGAAAAAATTCGAAAAAAATTCTTAAAATTCAAAAAATCCCTTAATTCCTGAGGATTTTGGAAAAAAGTTTTTACATGAACATGTGTATATTATATGAAGTATATTGATAAGGTAAAAATCAAATTTTATTGCATATTCATCGAGAAAATAAACTAACGAATTCCTCAAAATTGAGAGGGTAATCCTCCTCCTCTCAAATAAACGTACATACGGGTGCACCCTTAAATATTTTAAATATTTCTTCCAAAATTTTTTTTCAACCTCAGTAGTATATATAACGGGTTGTGTGACTTTTTTTGTAAACGTAAGAATTCATACAATATCGAGCGATTTTGTATCATTTTTTTTAACATATGAAGTAAAAAATGTATGATTCTTACGGTTTTTATTCTCACGTTTTTGAATAAATCAAGATTTAAAAAATTTTCAAAATTGTAAGACATTTACACTCAGCCCAAATATTTATATACTAAACACATTAAAAAAATTAACATTAATTTTAAAATAATTTATTTTTCATCTTTTATAAAAGAAGCTATATATAGATGATGTCAGATATTCCACGATTAATTAAACATTGTTTAAATCCTGAATGGATTAAACTTCAATTTAAAAATGAAGATTGTGAATTATTAAATGAATATGAAAGCCAAAATAAGCTAATGATTATTTGAATTTATGAAATCAATTATTTGATTCATTCTTTCTTCAATCTCTTCTATTCTTTTTGTTAAATCATCAATTTTCATTAATGAGGTGATTCTTGATTGAGGAATAGATTTCAAACTAATCACCCCTTTTATTTTTGAAATTTTGAATCCATCAACTTTAAACATTTTATTCAATTTACATGTTGTCAATTCTTCAAATAATTTTTTATTATTAGCATAATAGTCATTAAATTCTTCAACAGATGAAAAAATTTTTGTTTCAGTAATTGGTTTAACAACGTTTATTTTTTGTTGAACATCTTTACTTTCATTTATTTCTTCCTTCTCTGTTTCATTTATTTTCAAAATTGGTTTCATTTATCATTAAATAAAAATTAGAATATAAGTGATGAATTATATTTTTTTAATTAATATTAAATCAGAAATGGCTGCAGGATTCTTTAAAAAATTATGGGATGGAATTAAGAAAGCTGCGGGTTGGGTTCATAAAAATATTATTAAACCCGTTGCAAACTTTTTGGCACCAGTAGCGAAAACAGCAGGAACTATCATAGGTGGAGTATTAGGTACTAAAGCAGGTAATCCGGCAATGGGAGCACAAGCAGGTAACGCAGTTGGTGGAATTGCTGAAGGAATACTTAATAAAATAGGAGGTAGATAGTGGAAAAATAAATAAATATTATTTTTATCTTAGTATCGGTTGTAGTCTTTGATAAACTTTTTCTCCTTTATTTAATATTTCTCTTATTGGGGCAGCTTTTGGTGTTATTGATTCAGCAACGTCACTAATTGCTTCTTTATTCTTAAATATCCAATTTGCCCCCTTCTTCAATGTTTCCCAAACTTTACTCGCTCCTCTTTTTACTTTATCCCACAGTTTCTTAAATATACCTGCAGCCATAGTTGATTATTTCATTAAAATTAAAAATTCATTTTCATCTTTTAATTTTGATTTTTTATTTATTAATAAATGACGACTAACTATTTGGTGCCAAACACTAAACCGATTAATGGAAATGTGTTTCATTCATTCGAAAAGATAAATGAAATATTCGCAAAGAATGACGGTAGAAGATATTATAGAGAACTTGAAAGTTCATGCTATGACTCTGATGCTCCATATTTTGATGATAAACAAACTCATTTAAGAATTACAAATCCGGCTCATGATGTGAATCAATTAGGTGACACATATATTAAACGCAAAGTTAAAGCAACTCTAGTTTCAAATAAAGCTTTCACATGTGATGCCGCTTTTAAATGCATGCGTTTATTCGTTGGTTACAAATCATCAAATCAAAGCTTTAAACAATTAGAAGTAGAAACTGAAAGAGGTGATGCCGGTTATCTTCAGATGGATTGTGCCCGTGAATCTTTCGCATTTGCAACATATAAACCAAAATCAGAAAGGAAAGTTAAAAAGTTTGTTCATTCGTTATATAATAATGTTCAAAAATATGATAACTCAGTATGTGGTAAATATATTGACCCTTCAGAAGTTTTCACTAAAGCAAATGAAGAAGTTGATGTCACTTTTGATATGATTATTCCGGTAAATGATTTGTTAGCATTTCAGGCGTTCGATGATTATCCTAAATCATTTGGTGAAATCATTCTTAAATATTATGTTTTCAGGGATACTTTAGTATTTTGTCAGGTTGACCCGTTAAGAGTTGCTGATTTACAAAATTACGTTATGAAAAGATAACTGATGAAAATTATGAAAAGATTATGAATCATGTTTATAAATATGATCGCAAATTCCAACAAATCGGACTTCCTACCAATTAATTACAAGCTTAGCCGCTACATCTGCTGACGCAACAGTTGATGACGTTATTATTTCATGCACAAAGATGGAAGTTTTAGAGGATAAATGCATTACACCAGGATACGGTTTAATTGAAGAATCAGTTAAAGCAATACCACGTTTATTCAGTAAGGAAGATCCATTCATGATTCCAGCTCAACATATTGACGTTCGTTTCACTAAATGGAGGTTGCATCACTCCTGAAGGTATCAGCTCAGATTTCTCATACGCTCTTCATAATGTTACAGATGTTGTGTTAGCATTTCCGAAGAATGCAATGCAAAGAACAGTTTTAGAAAATCCAATGCTTCGAGGTCTTCAGGTCACTATAGATTCCAGAAACTTCCCCGATCAAGCGATGACCACAGTGGGCGACATATTCTTTACACGTATGCTTCAAGCTTCTGATTTAGATGGAGTGAATGAATGCACGGAAGAATATGAGGACTCATTAACTAGACCACTGAATGATGATAATGGCACGCCATTAGCTAGAACATGGAAAGACCAAACTTCATTCTTATGCACTATTCCAGTTCAACGTGATGGAGCGGGTATATTCTTTGATGGATTAGAAACTTTCAACTCACAAGTTACAGTACAAGTGAAAGCTTATCCAATCATTCAGGGTGTAAATGACACTTACTGTTCAAAGGTGACAAATCCTCCTCAGGTTTGGTTTACTAGGACTACATATTGGACATGGACACCGGACGAAGGTTTGAAATATCATTCAACAGGTACACCACCACAGTATAGAAGTTCATATGATGAAATATTGATGAATAGAAATGTTTAAAATTATAAATTTATTTTTGATTAAATGGATTTAAATTCATCCACCCCTTATGAAGAATTAGTGGGAGTATATAATACATACGTAGATGATATGATTAATGAAGCATTGAGTGATAATAGAAATGCTCTATCTAAGGAAAAATTAATGAAAATTCCATATTCTGAATGTTACTTAAATTCAATCACTGCAGCAATTGGTAAACAAAATAAAGGTAAAACATTAACGATATTAAAACAAATTATCATTATTGCTAACACTTCCCCCCATTCACACGTGTTAATTTATATCAACCGTTCAGGTTCACCTTCAGATGATACATTTGAATCTTTAAAGCATTTAATCAAAATTCCAATTATTTATTTATCACAAGAAGAAGCAGAAGATTATTTAAAAAACTTTTTAATGTATAAAGAATTATATAATACAATCAAGAAGCAAGGATTAGAGGATAAAATTATTGATAAACAACGGGATGAATTATTTGAAACACTTTCTATTTCAAATTTTGATAGAGAATTTTTGCATTCACTCATTTTTCTAGATGATGCAGTGAAATCAAAACTAATAACAAACGAGAAATCATATTTTAATCAGTTATTAACTCAATGTCGACACATTCAGTGTTCATTCTTCATGGCTGTTCAATACTTCAAAGCATTAAGCACAAACGTTAAATCAAATCTATCAACACTTTTCATTTTCAGTGGGTTTAGTCGTCAACAGTTGAACGTTATGCTTTATCAAGTGAATTTACCAATGAGCATTAATGAACTTTACACACAATATCAGCAATTAGGTGAACATG